AGGAATGAAGAGAAGGCTTGACTCCAGGGTAGAGGGGACTGGAGACCAAGAATGGTGAGTTCAAACTCCCCATTATGTGAGTGGGCTGGGAGGTGGTATGGTTGTTAAGCTGCTTGACTCCCACATGGTCAATCATGGTTTAAGTCCTGGACCTGGTGGCTTGCTTTCTCACTTTCTCTCTCTGGTGAGTGCATGTACCCTGAAGAAAATTTTAAAATAGCGATAAATAAGAATTAAATAAATAATTATTTTAAAAAGATAAATCTTTGGGACCAGCAGTTAGCGTAATGGCTATGTTGCTGGACTCCCACGTAGTCGACCGCGATTCACGTCCTGGACCCGAAGGCGTAAACTCACACTGGGCGCTTGTGTGTGCGTGCCCAAGATCCCGAGAGGAGAATGGAGGAGAAGGGATTGCCGCGTGGCCATCCCTGCTGGGGCGTGATTTCCTGCTTTCTCTCTCTCTGTCTCTCGGTCTGGCGAACGCACGCGCCCTATAGCAAAAACCTCTCCAGAAAAAAAAAAAGTGAAAAGATAAATCTGTGTTACCAGAGGCCTTCTATTTCTAGGAGCATAGAAGCATCCCCTTAAAAGTCCAATGGGACCACAAAGCCACATTTCACATTTCTCTTGAGAGAAGAGGAGAGAGCCCATTGCTAGAACATACTCCCAGGCTTCCTAAATAATCTCTTCCTTTAGCAGTAATGACATTTGTAACAAGTGGTTTGTTGAAAATATCCTTGTAGCTGACTGAGGTACTCAGGTGTCATCAGCAGGAGAATGCCTGCCCCTCATTGTTGCCTCTCTTCTCTTCAGCTCTGGGAGACTGTTGCCAGTGCAGGGATAAACCTACACAATTAACTTTAATAAAATGTGTCCTTTCTTGCAGCACGCGTTTCACTTCCATTGCATCTCTCGGTGGCTCAAAACACGGCAGGTGTGTCCATTGGACAACAGAGAGTGGGAATTCCAAAAGTAAGTTTGTCTGGCTGTTTTGACATTGTAAGACTAGGCTGTATGGGCGGTGCCATTCCCTGACTTCTTGAGAGCTGAAAGGAGTAATCTTTGAAGAAGGATTGTTTTATAAACTAGCTTTTGGTTGGGACCAATAGGTGGCATGGTGGTTAAGGGCACTGGACTCCCACATAGCCGACTGTGGTTCAAGTTCCAGACCTGGCTGCTTGCTTTCTCACTCTACCCTCCTTGCTCTCTCGCTCTGTTCTGCTCTGGTCAAGTTAAAAAATAAGTAAGTAAATAAATAAAGTTAAATAAGAAATAATTATTAAAAAAAAAATAAAGGGAACCAGCAGTTAGCGTAATGGCTATGTCGCTGGACTCCCATGTAGTCGACCGCGGTTTGCGTCCTGGACCTGGTGGCTTAAAACTCACGCCGGGCGCGTGTGCGTGCGTGCCCAAGATCCCGAGAGGAGAATGGAGGAGAAGGGATTGCAGCGTGACCATCCCCCCTGGGGGGTGATTTCTCGCTTTCTGTCTCTGTCTCTCTCTCTCTGTCTGTCTGGTGAGCGCACGCACCCTATAGCAAAAACCTCTCCAAAAAAAGAAAACTAGTTTTTGGTTATACAAGGACTCATGTATGTGGGAAACACATGAACGTTTAGCTAACACTGAAAGTTTACATCAGCTTAAGGTTTCCCAACCCTTCAGGTTCTGTGAAAGTAGAAAATACAGACATCGGGAACCAGCAGTTAGCGTAATGGCTATGTCCCTGGACTCCCACGTAGTCGACCGCAGTTCGCGTCCTGGACCTGGTGGCTTAAAACTCACATCGGGCGCGTGTGCGTGCATGCCCAAGATCCCGAGAGGAGAATGGAGGAGAAGGAATTGCGGCGTGACCATCCCCCCTGGGGGGTGATTTCTCGCGTTCTGTCTCTATGTCTCTCTCTGTCTAGCGAGCGCACGCGCCCTATAGCGAAAACCTCTCAAAAAAAAAAAAAAAAAAAA